GTGCTTCTTTCAGGAGCTCTTGTAAGGCAGGCCTAGTGGCAACGAAATCTCTCAGCAATTGCTTGTTCATAAAGGATTTTATTTCTCCTTCGCTTATGAAGCTTAGTTTGGCTGGATATGAAATTCTAGGTTGAAAGTTCTTTTCTTTAAGAATATTGAATATTGGTACCCCCACTCTCTTCTGGCTTGTAGGGTTTCTGCTGAGAGATCCACTGTGAGTCTGATGGGCTTCCCTTTGTGGGTAACCCGACCTTTCTCTCTGGCTGACCTTAGCATTTTTTCCTTCATTTCAACCCTGCTGAATCTGATGATTATGTGCCTTGGGTTTGCCCTTCTTGAGGATTATCTTTGTGGTTTTCTCTGTTTCTTGGAGTAGAATGTTGGCCTGCCTTGCTAGGTTGGGGAAGTTCTCTTGGATAACATCCTGAAGAGTATTTTCCAGCTTGGATTCATTCTCTCCATCATATTCAGGTACACCTATCAAATGTAGATTAGCTCTTTTCACATAATCCCGTATTTCTTGGAGGCTTTGTTCATTTTTTTTTTTCAATCTTTTTTCTCTAGTCTTGCTGTCTTGTTTTATTTCATTGAGCTGATCTTCAGTCTCTGATTCCTTTCTTCTGCTTGGTCAATTCAGCTGTTGAAACTTGTGTTTGCTTCACCAAGTTCTTGTGTTGTGTTTTTCAGTTCCATCAGATCATTTATAGTCTTCTCTAAGCTGTTTATTCTCGTTAACATTTCATCAAACCTTTTTTCAAGGCTCTTAGTTTCTTTGCATTGGGTTAGAACATGTTCTTTTAGCTCAGAGAAGTTTGTTATTACCCTTCGGAACCTGTTTCTGTCAATTTATCAGACTCATTCTCCATCCAGATTTGTTCCCTTGCTGGTGAGGAGTTGTGATCCCTTGGAGGAGGAGAGGCATTCTGGTTTTGGGTGTTTTCATCCTTTTTGCACTGGTTTCTTCCCAACTTTGTGTATTTACCCATGGTTTTGGAGTTGGTGACTTTTGGATGGGGTCTCTGAGTGGGTGTCCTTTTTGTTAATGATGAAGCTATTTCTTTCTGTTTTTTAGTTTTTCTTCTAACAATCAGCCTCTCTGCTGTAGGACTGCTGAAGGTCCACTCCAGACTCTGCTTGTCTGGGGATCACCAGCAGCTGCAGGACAGTAAGGATTTCTGCCAGTTTCTTCTTTTGTTATCTTAGTCCCAGAAGGATACCTGCCAGATGTCAGCCTGAGCTGTCCTTTATGAGGTGACTCTTTGAATATACGGGGTCAGGGAACTGCTTGAGGAGACAGTCTGTCGTTTATAGGAGCTCAAGTGCTAAGCTGTGAGCTCCGTTGTTCCGTTCAGAGCTGCTGGGCAGGTACGTTTAAGTCTGCTGCAGTGGAACTCATGACTGCCTTTTTTCCCAGGTGCTGTGTCCTGTTAAGGTGGGGCTTTATTTATAAGTTCCTGATGCGCTGCTGCCTTTTTTCAGAGATGCCCTGTCCAGCGAGGAGGTAGCCTAGTCACAGTCTGCCAGCAGAGGCATTGCTGAGCTGCCATGGGCTCTGCCCAGCTGCTTTGTGAACTTCCTTGTGGTTTTGTTTATAGAGGTATAGTTAGAACTGCCTCAGTAATGGTGGTCTGCCTCAGTAATGGCAGACTGCATCTGTAATGGCGGACTGCCTTGGTAGTGGCAGACTGCCTTGGTAGTTACGGACTGCTTTGGTAGTGGTGGACTGCCTCAGTAATGGATGTCCTTCTCCCACAGAGCTGGACTGTCCCAGGTCCAGTTGCACTTGCTGTGAAACTCAATCCAGAGCATTTCAGATTGCTGGTCTTTGTGAGGGCGGGACCTGCCAAGCCAGAACACCTGGCTCGCTGTTTCAGCCCCCTTTTTTTCAGTTGAATGGGTGGCTCTGTCTCCCAGGTGTTTCAGGCACCACTTGAAATGGCTGCCCAGATTTGTGTGAGATTTTGTATGGAGACCCACTGCACCAGCTGAAACAGCTGTGCTGGAAACTCATGGTGCTTTTCAGCCTGGGAATCTCTTTGTCTGTGGGCAGTAATAACTCATTTGGAAATGTGGTGATCACTCACCCTCTGTGTTGTTCTTGCTGGGAACTGCACTTCAGAGCTGTTTCTATTTGGCCATGTTGGATCTGCCAAAACTAAAATTTTAAAGAAATATTTAAATTTCAGAGTGCACATCATTTCACCTTAGGAACACCCAGACATTTTTATAAACCATCTTACCATTGGAAATCTCAACCAGTCTTCTGAGATCTAATCAATTTCTTTAGCTTCAGGTAATATCTCAGCTCCATTGGTTATTAAAGAGGCATATTAAAATAAGTGGTCCCCTCTTTAAAAAAAATGAGCTTATATTTCTTCATTAGGATTTGCATTTGTTTTTGCTCAAGCCTAAGAGTTCTAGTTTAATTTCACTTTAAATACAAAAATCTAAGTTTTTTGGATCATAAATATAGTATGAAATCCAGCCCTAAACCCATATGAAAATAAGCTAGAGGCCGTCAATTCATTTGGGAGATTTATTCTTCCTCCACCAAGAACCAAGGTGAGATAGACAAATTTCTATGCTGTTACTGCAGGGCATTTTGTTTCCTAATTCACCTTTCACCATGAGTGTAGCACTGTATGTGTGCATAAGGATATATTTGATCCTGCACCTTGTTCCATGTGGGTCCTGGATTCAAATTTCCTGTTCTTCTAAGATTGGCCCTTCAACACCCAAGTCTTAGGCCATCTAGGAAGCTCTAAATTTCCTCAGGGCAAGGTCTTTAGTGTTTATTTACATCTCTATATTCATATTCCTACTTCCTCTTTGTCCTTAGGTAAATACTTTCTTGAACTCTGAGCCAGATTTAGGGGATTTATTCATATTTGTTTATTTATTTATTTTTGAGATGGAGTATCATTCTGTTGCCTAGCCTGGAGTGCAGTGGTGCGATCTCAGCTCACTGCAACCTCTGCCTCCTGGGTTCAAGTGATTCTCTTGCCTTAGCCTCCTAAGTAGCTCGGACTACAGGCATGCACTAGCATGCCTGGCTAATTTTTCTATTTGTGGTAGAAACATGGTTTCATCATGTTAGTCAGGCTGGTCTCAAACTCCTGATCTCAAGTGATCCGTCCACCTCAGCCTCCAAAAGTGCTGGGATTACAGGTGTGAGCCACCATGCCCAGCCTCATTGTTAACATTTTAATGTAGCATTTTTGTGCTTTCTTTTAGTAAGTGAATTTTAGGATCTTTGGTTTATCATATTGCTAGAAATTGAATTCTTACCCCTCATTTAAGAAGGGCCACTTTAAATTACACACTGATATATGCACAAGTTTGTCAGGACTTAAGGCTAGCCCTCTGGGGCAGAGCAAAGAGAAGAATTTGTAAGTACCAACCTCTAATAGACAAACCTCTTCCCTCTCACACTGTTTCAGCAAGCAGATTCACTGAGTTCAGTCTGTTACCTGTTTTTTGAGCATTGTTGTGCAAGGCACTGTGCCTGACATAAACAGTCTTGAGGGATTTAGCAATTTAGTATGGATCTGTGTGCTTGGTGTACTTTCTACTTATAATTGAGATGCACTAAAATGAATGAATGAGGTGCTAGAGAAAGCTTCATTCGGGGTGTGTGAAGTTTTGATGCTAGATTGGGGAAAACAACAGGCAATATAAATTCACTGGGCATCTGTAGATTTTGAAGTTGGAATGTAGATTTCTTAGTATAAGTAACTTTGATAGAAAGGCACATCTAAAGTGGCTAAAGACAAATAAAAATTTTACCTCTGAATCTTTTCATATTAGGATTCAATCTTTTGCCAGTATTCTGTATAAAACCAGTGGAATTACTTTCTGTTAAGTTCCTCCTCTCCCTTCCCTTTGTGTAGCTCATCTGTTGAGTGATAATAATACAGAAAAATTCACCTTTCAAGTCATTTCTCTGAGTCTCTTCAAGTTAGTTGCTTCCTCTGCCTTTGCAGAGTAGTTCTAACAAGCCCCTGTTATGTGGCTTATCATATGATGTCTTTGAAGTACACTGGTTGTTTTTCCTCCTAAACCTGTTTGCCTACCCTGATAATAATAACATCTTTCATTTGTGACCACTTAATAGGTGACAAGATATAGACTTATATTACATTTAAACTATAGCAAACCTATGAGATAGATATAATTATTCCCATTTTATAGATGAGGAAACTGAGGATTCTGAAAGTGATTGGAACTTGCCCAAATCTTAACAGCTAGTAGGTGGAATGACTAGAATTAAACCAGGCATGATACTCACACTGTGATCTTGGCAACTGTACTGGATACTCAGACTGTGATCTTGCCAACTTTGCTTTAGTAACAAGAACATCCCTTTTTAACTTTTATTACTGGTCTAGTGCCTGGAGTTGTTCCTAGAACATAGCAAGCACTCAGGAAATATTTACTGAATGAAAGACAGTGAAAATTCAAATATAGCTTTAATGGAAACTTATGAATTTAGAGTGAGCTCCAAATGTTTACACATATACCAGAGTTTTACTTTTGGTATATTATTGCCTCAAGGAATAGGAATGTGCCAAGTATCAAATTGTATATGTGCACATACACACACTATATGAAATATAGTAGATAAGTAATTGTTGTAGCATTAGAACTGTTATATCATGTGTTGTAAAAATCAGAATATTCAGGTATTGAATTTTATCTCTAATCTATCCTAAGATTTCCCTCATCACTGAGATCAAGGCTGGGCAAACTAGTACCTATGGACGAAATCTGGTCTGCCATTTATTTTTATAAATAAAAGCTTAATTTTCAAAATAAACATTGCCATGCCCATTTGTTTATATGTGTCTAAGGATACAAAGGCGGAGATCAATAGTTGCAACAGAGACTGGCCTGCTAAACCTAAAATATTTACTCTCTATTTATAGAAATAATCTGGTGACCTGTACTGCAGGTCACTATTGTTCTATCACTTGGTTAATATTGCTTTGCTCTATTTCAAGGATCTTCGAGATAGATTTGAAATTCAGCCAGGTGATGCTCGTCTATTTATAAATGGCCTTCGTGTTGATATGGATGTTTATGACCCTTTTAGGTATGTATTAAATTATTACTATAAATTATGGTTTATATAAAAGTAAACATTGTCTTGAATTTAATATTAGTTAAAATATGAAAGTCACTTTAAAGATAAAGCAAATACATGTTTTTCATTGTACAAAACATCTCTCTTCTACCAAAATGAGCAAGCCCAAAGTGTCTTAGAATATCAGAACTGGGAGAAACAGTCAAGTTTGGATGAGTGTTAGACCTACAATTAGCTTGTTATTCTAAACTGTCTTTCATTGAAGAGTAGATTGATGATTTATTGGAGAAGTTATTTGGAACTGAACTGAACAGCCAGACACCTCTATCCTTCATATAGGAACTGAAATCAACATGGGGTATTTCCTCAGAAGAGAGCAATTGACAAGAGGAATTTAAAGTGCTTCTGTATAATTGCTGGATACTATCTAGTTTCTTGTCCAAAAAAAAAAAAAGAAATTCTTCAAAATTGCTCAGAATTTTGAACAGGACTGAATTAAGAAGTCTTTGCTTTGTCAGTGGTCATTCACCCAAAGGTAAAGCTGTGGGCCAAACGGAAGAGTTACTTTTATAAAGAAACATAAAACTACTTTAAAATTAATATTTGGAACATTAGATGAACTTAGGAAACATGATACCTTAGTTGAGTATTCAGTTTTAATTCAATTGAATATATTTATTGAACTGAAATTATTTGAATTGTTTATTTAAATCCCATTTTCTTACCAGTTTGGAAATATGTTGGAAAATATAATGGAAAGACTGAGGAAATAGTTTTATCAAACATTTTTTACAATGTTATCTCAAATGGGGCTTTTCTCTTTAGTTACTTAAATCCTTGGACCTAGTATTGGAAAAATAATAACCTAAGATATATGTAAGTACTACACACAGAAAGAGTAGAGAGGTTTTTAAATGCTACCCTGTAAATTCCAGGGGAACAAAAACAACATCTGTGCTCAGGAGCAGTAAAAACAGGTTTAAAGGAAGTAGTGAAATGGTATGTAGATTTTAGAAAGTTTTCTAAGGCAGCATATGAGGAAATTTTTTATGGCAAGAATATTTTCACGTATGATTTAGGAAGGCTGTAGGTTATTAAAAAATACAACAACAATGCCCCTCCAACCCCCCGCTCCCCTCTCCACCCTCCACCCTCACCTCCCCGCGGCTCCTACACCTGGATTGTGTGCTACATTTTTGTTCCTCATTGATTTGATCACTAGTTAGGGCTACTGTGATTCTCTTAGAAGGAGAAAATATGTGATATTTATATCTTCTGACATTTTTGAAGACAGCATAATCAGAAAGATTTTCAGAAAAAGATCAGAGGGGGAGGATCCAAGATGGACGTTTAGGAACAGCTGAGGATTGCAGCTCCCAGTGAAAGTGCAGAGGGTGAGTGGACGCCACATTTTTATTGCCCACAGACTAGGAAATTCCCAGGCGGAGAAGCTCCACGGTCGCCAGTGCGGCTGTTTCGGCCAGCGCAGTGGTGCCGGCCGGTGCCGCTGCTTTGCCCCGCGTGGCTGCTTTGTCGGCGCCCCGGAGC